AGGCTTTTACTACAAGAAGGCATTCAGACCCGACCAGCCCTACCGTATATTCAACACATGGTTGGGCGACGCCTCTAAACTCGTATTTCTCGAACAAGTAGTGAAAGTAATAAAAGAACAGAATCTTATCGAAAATATGGCCAAAACCGGTGATTATATGCTTAAAGGCTTGGAATCACTGCAAAACAAATTCCCAAACATAGTGTTGAACGCCAGAGGAAAGGGAACCTTCTGTGCCATTGACTTCAAGACACCTGCACTCAGAGACAAAGCCGTAAAGGTTTGTCACATTCAGACTCAATGACTCAATAATTGCGTTTAAATACATCCCTGAATATAATCTATAGGTTCTGCACAAAAATGGAGTCCACTGTGGAGGTAGTGGTAGTGCGACACTACGCGTGCGAACGACCCTAACCTTCAACAGCACTCACGTCGATATCTTCCTCAAGAAATTCGAGTTAACTCTTAAAGAACTTAATGAATGAATGATTCCGTGTTTTATCGCAATATATTCCAACAATTTTCAGTTCTTTTGATATGAATGTCTTCCATAATAAATATTTTATCTGTTATTCGACTCTAAGATCTGTTCATATTATGACACAAACTATCAATCGTTAAACTAATTACCAATTTATTCAATAAAACCTAATATAAATGTAATCACTATTTGGGTTACATTTCATTCACTTAAATGTTAACTAATTTATTATACTTTACAAACAATTTGAAGACAAACTGTGGCACTAAAGCCGGAGTCCAAGTGTCGGCTCACTCGAGACCCTTACGGCCCGGATCTGCGATCTTCCAACTCATCCTAAGGTCACCGTAATTACGACCTCCAAGTGTCCCGTTTTCAATCCGAAGGTCTTCAATGTCTTTGGGGAACAGAATCTGCCAGCCGTTGGGGAAGTTCTTCGTGGAAGTGTTGGCCCGAAGGTTAAGCACACCCGCGAGAGCGCCCGCAGCAGCTACTGCCGCACCGACACCTGTGCTGCGGACTGATTGAGGCATACATTAGATACATATGAAGAGACAAAACGAGTCAAACCAACACTTATAGCCCCAAATGAGTCCAACGGATGCGCCGCCAATCATGTGATTGAACGGGTGTTCCCAAGAGTCGTGTCGTTTGCCCCTTAGGTTTGCCACACAGCAGGTGATGGCAGCGTATAAGACAAACGATCCACCTTTGGATGAGATCACAGATTAGACAATGTCTTCATATTCATCACCTGGAAGTACCTATTCGTCCGAAATGAGAGGCCATTCGTCCGACAGCTGTCATGTAAGACAACTGTTTGTTGGCCAACACGTCAATCATTGCGATACAAGACGCTTAAGACATGGAGGACACGGAGGACACNGGGGACACCACAAGGGTTTGTAAGTGTATTTGTCGGGCAGTTCCGGCCAAACCATGTCTTCGGCACTCAATTCAGTGTCCAATCAATCGATACGATCACTGATCCACACAATATCAACACAAATGAAAACAATATTTGACACAAAAATTACGTCCATTTGTGTTGAATTGTAATTTGCATTCATTTGAGGGTTCATTCAATTGATTTAAACATCTATTAATTGACGATTAATTGATTGCAATATAACTTTCAATCATTTGTATGCATAATATGTTTCAATCAGGATACTTTTCGTACTCATTATACAAATCTTGACATTTGTTTCAAATCTAATTTTCTGACTTTTATTAATTAAATACAAAGTTTTATATAAATTTATAATACATTTCAAACATTTAATCATTCATTTAAATACAAATCCTTTGATAATATGATAACATTTGTACACAAATTGACAATTAATTGTAATGAAGAGGACATTGAATGGACTGAATGTCACAAATATTGCCACAACTGATGCAATGGTGAGGACCTCTTTGCGATCTGATAAGCGGTTTCTCCGCTATCATTGGTGAGAGTGATGTCGATGTCTTGGTTGTGGAGAAACAGTTCCAGAAGTTGTCGGTTGTTATGACTGGCGGCCAAATGGAGGGCAGTGTTGCCGCCATCGGACACGGCGTTGATATCAGCGCCACAATTGATGAGCAGATCTGCGGCGCCAGTGTTGGCCCACTTGGAGGCGCAGTGCAGAGGTGTCCAGCCGTCCAGAGTCCGCGCCCTCACGTCAGCCCCCCTTCTGATCAGAAGTCGCATCACTTCCGTGTGATTGTTATACGCAGACCGATGCAGAGGAGTGTACAGATCACTGTCCACTGCCATCACCACACTCTGGTCCCGAGACAGACACCTCTTCACGCCCAACAGGTCCCCGTCTTCGGCCGCTTTTAATATCATTTCATTTAAATGCAATTCATTTTCATTAGTTGTTTTGCCGTCCAATGAATCGTTTAGTTTGTCACTCATGTCTTCATTTGGATGACAATTAGCACATAAACTGTGGTAATGTTGGACACAATCAATGTCTAACCGATATGTAAGTGAACAGTGATTTGGTTGACTTGTGGTATGTGTTGACCACTGATTGCAATACAAATCATTTGAAAGCGTATGACATTTGATAACAAGTAAAACATACGAAATGTTGTGTCGAGTGTTATGTGAGCTTAGGTTAGGTTTGAGCTGTTTTTGTCAAACCTATGCATTCAATGCATTCAATGCATTGCATTACTCTATTCAATAAGCATTGAATGCATAGATTTCACAAAAACAGCTCAAACCTAACCTAAGCTCACAGAACACAGTATTGCATTCAAGTCTCAATATTCAGTACCACACCATTCAATACAAAATAGTAACATTTATTTTCAATTCAATTATTGTTAATATTTAATTCATTGTGTTTACTAATTATTAACTTATAATTAAACAGTAGTATGTATAGTAGGATGCCCTAAAATAGATTGATTGTATTATATTATATTGCTTAGTTTAAGATCATTTTGGTCACATATTCTGATCAATTGTCTGTTACTGTTAAACTAAAAGTTACAAAACTATTATCCATAGCACTAATTGTCATAAATTGCATAACTGGGTGGTGCGGGTGTTTGAATATGATTTGTCCTCAATATAGTCCATTAGTATTACTATTTTTCGACATTCATATGAATATATTAAAGAATAATTGATCATAAAATGATATTTTTATTAAAATATGAAATTTAATTATATTTTATAGACTAAAGGATGAATAAGGTGATATATGACATTTGTACTGTACATTACTGTATGATATAAATTAGCTTAGACTATAAAGTAGGAAAATTAAACCCACAAATACAACATTAATAAGTACATTGATAATTTTTGCAAAACTTTAGAATTGAACAGAATTATTCAATAAATGACATTACTGCAATAAATTATGATAATGTGTTTATCATAATTTTATTATTTGTTGATTGCAAATAAAATTTATTCAATATTTAGCACAATATTATCATAAGTATTACGATAGGATACTATTAAATAAATTCAGATTAATTGTCGATTAAATAATGAGAATCAGAGAATTGTGCAAAAAGTATGGATACAGTAATGCTCTCTATGTTTGCAATACAGCACCCATTCATTCACTGCAATCGCATAACAATCGTATGAATGTATGAATGAATTCGCGATCCATTTGTGTGTAGTCTTCAAAGTAATCGCTGTTTTGTTTACTCAACACTTGGAGTCCAGTGTTTTGACTGTGAGTGCAATCTATTTGGTGTTTATTTATCGAAATTAAATGCAATAAAAGTATTTAATTATATGACATAATATGCACACAATTGTATGCATATGTGTTGTGGCACTCAATGTCTATTTGATTGTATGATGTGTTTCACTGCAGTCTAAGCTATGCTTGCATTCAGTCGTTCATATTCACGTCAATCACTGTTAACTCAATTCAATACAATTATATTGATGTCATAGTCGTGTGAATACTGTGAAGGGTTGGATCAATTGGATCAATTAGATGGCAATCGAGGCAATGGAGGGACCCCTTTGTAAATGGACTAATGTTATGAAGGGTTGGCAATACAGATGGTATGAACCAGTGATCACCGGATCTCTTCATCAATTGTCTTTGTTTTTGTTGCCATTATTAGTGATATTCAGTTATAGTGTATTGTATGTGATATTCATGTATAGTATGTGTAGTTAACTAATATTTATTATATAATTTAGTTGACATTAGTTTAATCACTAGTCTCGACATCACTGCAAATGATGTTAACGTATTGAAAACAATACAACTGTGGATCAGATATAGAGATAATTGTTGTTAATTGGAGTGAAAAGTGATTAAGACTTTTGAAGTGTTATAAATGTAGTGATTATTGAGATAATTGTAATGCAGATCAAAGTCAAAACCAATGATAATTGTATTGAATACTAATATACAGTACTATACAATAGTTTATCAATAATTGTTTCATTAGTTGTATTGATTGTCGTATTGTTTAAAGACATGAATGGCTTTGCTTTTCGTGTAAATACACTGTATTTGCCGACAAACCCATTAATTTTGATACAATTGTGTTGAACTGCTTTTTCATCTAATATTTACTCTAATATTAGGTTTGTTTTGGACGATAACGCGGGTCTTCTCAGCTATTATACGGTATTTGCATTTTAGTCATCACTTCTAGAAATCCTTGATTTAATTTTCATTATTTTTGTCATTCAATTCAGTCCAAAGAAAAGATGATAAAAGGCGACCGAAGAGGTTGTGTTAGGCTTAAGGTAAATATTTGCGACTAAATGTTATGAAAAGTTTATTTCAATGAATCAATTGTTTGCATTGATTGAAGGGCGCCGTCATTGGCATCGATGACGAGGACGACAGCACTTTCACCATCACTGTCGATGGCAAGATGTTTCACTTCCAGGGTATGTACCACTCATTGACACCACTCTTGGTTTTTGATACAATATTTTTTGGTTTAAGTTGAGTGCCAATTAAGTCTCAATTCTTAGTGAATTGATACATGAATTTTTAGATTAATATTTTATTCTCGTTTCAAATTGATTTCATTTGTTTGTAATGAATTGATTCTTTGGTTTATTTTATTGTTTGATTTATGAACTATTTTTGCGACAAATGATTATTTTTTCAATAAAAAATAAAAGCTATTTTCAAGTGGTTTTTGTACGCATTCTCGTTGAATCGATGTATCATTTATTCAAAAATCAAATAATTGAAAGCCTTATCATTTGTGCGCAAACCTACATAACTCTATAAAATTATAGTGTATTTCAATGCGATTATATAACGCTCTATGGAGTGATATATGATTTTAAAATGCATAATAATGACAATATGTATGTTTCCATGTCATCAAAGATACACAAATGAAAA